CCCCAAAACCCCAAAACCCCAAAACCCCAAAACCCCAAATAAGTTTTATGAGATTGAATAAACCTTGAAATAGTTATTTTTTCTTCCCATCAGGTTGCTCTGGAATAAAGCATTCGCCGTACCCTCCTAGCTTATATGATAGAGCCATCTCTCAGAAACAATCAGGGTTCATTTTATCCAGATCTATTTAAGTTAAATCCAAGGAATATATTATTACCTTCAGATTTTTCATCCATTTCCAAAGTTTCATTAAATATCTCACTTATCTGGTCTCTTGTCATCGATTTTTCTAAAAATTAAGTTTGTGAATACCAAGGTGGTTGATTAACTGCTCGAATTCTTCAAAAGACAAGACTTGATCTCCATTATCATCGAATTCGACAAATACCTTCATTAACTTCTCATTTGTCCGTTTGAGATAGTCATCCCATTCATCGATCAGGAGCTCGAAGAACCTGAGCTCAGTGATCCTATACAGATCATAGCACCTAAATGTAAGACGGTTGGGTTACTTCTCAGAGTAGCTACTCCAAAGAGAGTTTAGCCTAGATTTCTCCCCTGCGCCGCTCTCAGCTTCTTCTTCAAAAAGTGCATGGAGCTTCTTAGCTTCTTCTTCACCGAAGAAGATGTTGAACTTCTCTCTGAGTCCATTGAGGATCTCGTCAGCATCAAGAGTCCCATCTCCGTCCTCATCTAGCTCGTCGTGCATATATTGAATGGTCTTTCCTAACTTAGCAGCTTTGTGACAGATCTTGACTAGTGAAAAATCTATGTAAAACTGCTCTATTTCGTGTGGGTTGCCAGCTATATCCTTAGGGATTTCAGGAGTCAATTTTGGGATAAAACTTGCCAGCAGCTCCTTATCTTTATTGCACCAGTTTGTGAAAACATCTATGATCTCAAGTAAAGAGCAGTTTCCTCCAACTTGGAGATCAACTAAGCTGAGATTTGTGAATGCAGAGTTCTTCCGGATCTTTATAGTCTTCTTGCAATGCTCCTGAGCTTCCATCCAAAGAGGCTTAGCTTTAATGATCAGATTTACTTGCTCCTGACTGTACTGGACTTCAGGAGAAGACTCAAACCCGAAAATAGACAGTAGAAGTTGAGCATATGGCATTTTATCAGGATTTTTTTTCTTAAAGCTCTTCGAAGTATTGGCTAACAATTCCCTTAGAGAGATCAAGTTCTTCACAGCAATTGTCTTAAGCCCAAACTTCATACTTAACTGATCTAGAATATAATTAGGCAGGGTCTTAGTTTTTTTATTAGCTTTCTCAGCTTCAATATCATTCTTTAATCTTTCACTCAGAAGCTCTGAAATCAGCTTTAGAGCGGTACCTTCAGGCATAGGCAGAATTTTCTCCTTCTTATTATTGTTCATGTACCTGACAATGTTCTTTAATAAATTATTCTTGGGTCCCTTGTTCTTTTTGCCATCCTTATCTCCATAAGCATGATTGTAACTGTTTACAAACTCGCTCTTTGTTAGGTCTCCTGGAGGCATCGTCATTACAGTCTGCAACTCAACAGTTCGAGCATCTTTAGCAGGAGGGATCAACAACTTCTTGATAAGGTCTTCTGGGATTTCATCAAGGACTTTCAGAGCTGCCTCTTTTTCAATCATTATTCTGTCCTTCTCTTCCCCATTGATGACGAATAGTTCAGTGTAGTTTTCGTAAAGGTATTCAAGGAGTTCGTCCACAGCAGTAGGCTCATCGTCGTCTTTTTCATCTAAAATAGTACAATTATATTTTTCCAAATTTGAATTTAGAAATACAGAGGCTCCGTCAACTGAAGTGTATCAGGTGTTTATAGCAAATACACTAAACAAGCTAGGTAAAATTACCACTACTAAATACCCAATTTTGAAGTGGGAAATGAAATTCTAGATACCCTCAACACCAAGCCCGCTTTCTCTTTTCCTGTTCTTCCTCCACATCCTAAATTTTCTTAAATTAAGTCCTTCATTTTCCTTCTGCTTGTTCTTAAAAATCCTATTGATAATATTTAACAACTTCTGGCATGATTCCATTTGTGGCTTCTTCTCTTTCAGTGCTAATAGCATGTTCTCTTCAAGATCTCTATAATAAGTCTTAAGCGAGAGGATGTCGACATCATTGCGAATACAGTTAAGCTCAAAGTATCGGTCCTCTGCGACTTTGGCCATTCTGTGCTTGTCTTCTTTAGCATTCTCAAATTTTGTGTTAAGAGTAGCGACCTGTTTCAGAAAATCCTTCTCTATTTGCTTGATCTTCCGATCTTTCTCGTCAAGATGCTTCTCAAGTAGGAGGTATTTCTCCTCAAATTTTCCAATAGACTCCATCTTATTTCTCCAGTGCAGCTTCGTTTTGAGTGAAGATCCTATCTTGGGAGAATAAGACAGCTCTCCATAGGTGGTCAAGGTTGATAGCGAAGAGAGCTCTCTCTTTCCAGTCCATTTTCAGGTCATGAGCCCCATTCTTCTTGGTATTAAGAACGATCCTGATCAACTTCTTGATGATTTTCCCATAATCACAAAAATCTTTCTTCGTGTCTTCAAAGGTGTATTCCTTCTTCTTATCTGTAATGATATCTTGGAGTTCTGACTCGAGGATTATCTTGATTCCTTCGAGGGATTTCACATTGGTTTGCCCTAAATTGTGAGAGAAAGACTACTCTTTTTCCTTGAGACATCTTCTGAAAAGCCATAATTGATATATGTGCCAGAATTATCTGCCTTAGGGGATGATTCTGGTTGGGAATCAACCTCATATTCCATCTCAGGCTTAGTCAGAGTACTGAGGTTCATTTCAAGGTCTCCAACGCATCATTTCATAGCTCCGAGCTGGAGAATATATTCATCATGCAATGTCTGAAGTATCTAAAGTTAAATAGACATTTCTAACATTTTTCTTTTGGTTTGTCTGGTTCAGTTTATCAAAAATCTGTTTATTTTCTCTGAATAAATCTTTCCTCTTGCAGTTCCTGAGACATTGGACTTTCTTTAAGATCAATAGCTTCAAAGGCATGATAGCCTGAATCCTTGATGATCCTAAGGTTTCTGTCAACCTTTTTAACGCTTTTGGGAGTACTGAGCGGGGAGACTAGGTTCCGAGCTGTACGTCGTGTCCCATCATTGGTCGTCTTCTTAGAAACCCTATTTGAATCTGGATTTGTGATGCTCCTGATCTCTTTCAAAGCTTTGAATTTATCTATAAAAATCAAACTTAGATGTACTCTTTAATGAATCGAGGTTGGTATTTGCATTGCTAGTAATGGTGTTCCTCAGAATTGCATCAGTTCCCAGCTCAGTTCCTCTACAAAATAAAGGGTTAGCATACTTCGCATTATTATAAAGAGGCTTTGAAGTCTTCCTTTCCCTTGATGTGTCATATTGCTTCATCTTGGAATTCTGAATTTCTTCAGCAAGGGATATAGAATTCGGGCTCTTCTTGTACTTTAACACTGAATTAAACATAAAATATTTCTCCTCAAAACTGTCAGCTGCAAGCTTCTGAGGTCTCTTGCTCTTAAGTCTTTTCTTAGAGTCATTCCATGAGGAAATCTGAGATGCATTTCTGTAATTCATGCTAAAACGCCTGCCATGGAAGCTATCTAGTTCAAGTTTTTGCTCATTATCTGGCAAAGCTTTGTCTATATCTAGTTATGACTCTTTACTATAAAGGACCAGGTTGGAATGATTGAGTGCAGCAAAGTCCTTCTTTTTCTGACCCTGAACAATACTCATCCTCTTCGCTTTAACTGCGAGATTGGAGCCGGGAGCTTGAGTGGGAAAATTCATGTTTTTGGGCCTGCATTCATTCTATATCGGTCATGAGATTTGATGTTTTGGCTACTTACCTCAGAAGCTAATTTCAGCATAGTTGTTCGCATCTTAGATCGATCTTTGGAGTCTGAAGGGGCTATATCAAAATTTCCTTAGATTTGTTCTTAACAGATAACTAAAAATTCTAGGATAGAGTAATATCAAAACTAAAACCGAGAAGGAAGTGATAGAGAAGGGACCACTAAAATACCAACATTGTCAATCTGGTTCCTAATGCATTGTGGATTCGTGACTTAGATTGTTAAGATAATAAAAATTTGCCAATATGATAACTGAAGATACAAAGCTGCTGCTTAAGATGATACTCACTTGAGTAATTCTTGAGCCCAGAGCCAGCATCTTTACGAGATGGATCGACCAGAGATTCTACTGAATCATCTATATTAGACATGATTAGCAGTTTTAAAAGGGTAGTTTTAACATCAGTAATTTTATTTCTTCACTTTTACCATTGTGAAAGTTTTTAAGCACAAACTACAAGAAATAAGCTAAATTACCATTCTTAATGTAATCCTTGTTTTCCTTGATGACTGAAGGGAAAATATTATGGTAGACCTGAACCCGCTCTGTACGATCACAAGGCCTGGTATGATTGAAGTCGTCTTCCTTATCTGCCATTTTCAATAATTTTGTTATGAAAAGGGGTTTTGGGGTTTTGGGGTTTTGGGGTTTTGGGGTTTTGGGGTTTTGGGG